TCGACCACCGTCGGTGTTTCGCCGGACCACCGCCGGAACTTCGCCGGACCACCACTTGAGGCCCTCACCTCCGCCAGATCACCGCCTAACGTCGTTGCTCTGTCGGACCACCACTTGAGGCTCTCACCTCCACCGAACCACCGCCTGACACCATTGATTTGCCAGACTACCATTTGAGGCCCTCACCTCCGTCGAACCACCGCCTGATGCCGTTGTTCCTCCGTACCACCACTTGAGGCCCTCACCTCCACCGAACCACTGCCTAATGTTGTTGCTCCGCCGGACCACCACCTGAGGCCTGGACTCCGCTAGACCACCACCTGAGGCCCGGACTCCGTTACGACCACCACCTAAGGCTCGGACTTCTGTCGGACCATCAACTGAGGCTCGGACTTCTGTATGACCACCACTTGAGGCTCTGTGCTCCACCAGAACATAACTTAAGGCTCGTACTTCAGCCAGATAACTACTTGAGGTTCTGTGTTCCACCAGAACATCACCTGAGGCCCAGACTTCCGCCGGACCACTACTTGAGGCCATGAGCTCCACCATGCCATCACTTGATGACCAGAGTTCTACTAGAGTACTGCCCTAATACAACAGTCTTACAGACCCTAGTCTTTTGCCAACTATGATTTTTTTTTTACCCCGGTCTCCTGCTGACTACGATCCTTCCGACCTCCATCACCTACTATGGTCCTTCAGACCTCCATCAACAGACAACAGTCTTTCTGACCCCAGTCTCCTACTGACTACGATCCTTCCGACCTCCATCACCTACTATGGTCCTTCCGGCCTCCATCACCAGACAACGGTCTTTTCGACCTCCATCCTATCGACTATGGTCGTGCTGACAAAACAAACACATCTATTGTAACTCTCACCATGCAATGCACTCTATATGATGTACATTTGTGACATCAAGCTAAGGCCTTCTCCCAAGGAAGGGTCTTATTTATAATCGACTACAAATACTAGTTGACTCATTCAAACTAGGCCAGGCCCCGTGGTTTTTCCCCCCTTTCATGGGTTTTCCACTTAAAAATATTTGTGTCTATCATAAATGCACCCTCTCCCTTTATTTGTGTGCGTGCTGGATTTTTGTACAACGCTAAGATGTTAAACTTTATATTTCTCTACCGCCGCGAATATTCCAGGACGCAACAATAGTATTACTAATAAATTCAAATAGTAATATGAATAATTTATAAATAACATTCATTTTAGTTATCACACTAAATAAGTAAGAATTCTAGCTATCACAGTATTTTTTAGTATCGGTGTCAGTATTAGTAACTGTTGGCTTAGTAAACAGAGTCGTCACTCTTTGCCCATTGGCAAAATAATCATCTCACTATAGCTCCAAATTAGTGTATCACATGAATTAGTATAGGATAAGACCAAACCAAAGTATTTAAAGTAAAGTTCATCGACCCGCCATCTAGTACAGGTCAATATCTTCAACCAATGAGTTAACTAGTCTTTACTTATCTTTTACAAACACATTATTATTATAGTACTATAACAGCAATAACAACTAGTTATTACTCAATCATATATCCACATAAATTTTAAATGCATTATAATAAATAATGCATAATTATATTTAATTCAAAAAATATCAAAATGTCTTAATGGTATATAAAAAAAAATCATACTGAGAAGTTTGCATTTTTATAATTTAACAAATTTATCAGATATTATATAAAATAATATTATGAAGCTTTAGTTGAACTAAATCATTATTTTTAGATGTCAAAATAATTTTTTGAGTAGAAAAAAATCATTGTATTTTCAAAATCAACCTATAAAAAATCTCAAATAGATACTCAAAATGTTTATAATATCAATCTCTATTACGTATTAAAAGTACTTACATGATAAAAAAATTTATCAATACAAAACTATTGTCATTTTAGGGTAACAAAATATAAATTTGACAAAAAAATTATATATAAAAAACACTTCTTTGAAATAAAAAATACGATAATAATTTCTTACAAGAAAACGAGTAAATTTTTCAACAACGCCGACGGGCAAAAATCACCCATTGCAGAAAAAATACAAATTTCTGATGGAATTTTTTACGAAAATAAATATGTTAGAAATTTTGGCAGATTTTCGACGGAATATTTCTAGTTGATTATCGACATATTTTTATGGGATTTTTCAACTGACGGATTTATTTCTGGCAGATGTTTGGTGGGTCTGGTTCACAGGCCCGTAAAGTTATAAGGCAAGTTTTATTTACGGTAGAGCGAGGGTTCTAGGCCTGGTTCACGGTAGCAAACCTCTCTCAGATTAAATTATAACAATTTTTTTTATTTTCCCCAAGCAATTTACAGCGGAAAATTCACCAAAATTCTGCTGAAAATATTTCTAGCAAATTTTTTTGACGGTATTTGTTTTCGATGTGTGATTTACCGTTGGAAAATTTTTCATTAGAAATCCAACTTAGATATAAATTTCCAAAGATTTTAATCATTTTTCGATGGAAATGGCCATCGAAAATTGTCGTTTTTCTTGTAATGCTATACAACCTCCAAATTTCAAGTTTCATTTTCTCTCTTAAATTTGTTTTTCATTTATATGTTGCCGAAAATGAGTAGGGATGTGGAGGATCTATTGGTTTCTTTCCATGGAGTGGACCATTTGGGTGCTCCATTTGGTTAAGGCGAAGACTTGATTCAACATTTGGGGCTACTTGTGAATCCCCTAAAATGAGTTTAAGGAAGGCCACAAGTTGATGTGGAGGAGTTGGAGTTTTAGCTCAAGTTGACCCAATTTGACCATTTAAGAGGATTTTGGTTACTTTGACCATGTTGACTAATAGCCACCTTAGATGGGCTGTTCAGAGCTCCTACGAGCCCCTTGCACGAGTTTAAGTTGACTTGAGTGCATAGGTGTAGAATTTGGATTTGAGAAAAAATATGTGAGATTTGAATAATTTAGGTGAGCTCACCATGAATTTATTCACATTGAATTTAAGCGCACTTAAGGCGTGAGATGGAATGTATTTGAGAGATTTTGGATTTTGATTTGATTTTGTATTAATTTGGTTTTGGATTGACTTGAGTTGATTTGGATTTAGTTGACCTCAAACAAAGATGAGGTCAACAATTATCTAGTGGCATTTTTAGTTTTGGGCAAAGTCACATCAAGTGTGATTGGCTCGAGGTTGGTAGCCTCCAGAGGCATTCTACGTACAATTGGAAGAGATGATAGAGGTGGTCAAGGACACCCTTCCTTAGGACAACCCCTCATAAAAGAGGTATTATTCTGTGCGTACACTGGACAGGAGAACCGCCCGGTTAAGCGCTGGGTACCCAGTGGTATCGAGGGGTACCGAGTGCAGGTACCGAGTTGGGTACCCAGCATGGGGTCACCACAGGAAAACCCGCTATTACCGGCGGATATAATCCGCCTACAACATGTAAAATCCGACGGAAGTCCTGGGTTTCCGGCACATTTACGGCGGATTTTCGTGCGCCGGTTTGGTTCGCGTCAGAAAATACTTTCTGCCGTTTTTAAGACGCTGGAAAACGTTCCGGCGCCATCTCCGGCGCATTACCAGCGCAAAAAATGCTAGCGAAGCCGGCGATTTTCAACCGGAAATTATGGCGATAACCGCGCTAGAAGTTTACATCGTATGGATCCGTCGGAAATTACCAGCAGATAAAACGTCGTAAATAAGCTATGGCTTGTTTACGGCGCATAACGGACGCCGGAAAACACCGGCGGAATGGACGCCATAAAATGCGCCGAAAATTTCTGACGTCTAAATAAACGACGACATGATTGTACTGATTCGTTGTATCGTCGTTTCCGTCGTATTTCCGATGCTATGACCGTCGACGACGTCTGGTGACCGTCTAGAGAGCTCGGCGACCTCGATCGAAGGCGAGCGACGGAGGGCGACGAGGGAAACAGCTGTGATGTGAGAGAAACGCACGAAAGAAATGAGCAACTAGAGGGGCTTGGGTTCAAAAATAGGGCTTTCGCCGACGGATTTTCCAGTGTCCAAGACACCGGAAAAAATTCCAGCGCAGAATGCGCCGGTTTTAAGTCGTTGAGCTTAAATACACTGGTGCAATATCCACCGGTAACTGTGCCAGTTATTTTCCGTCCTAAAGTGCACCGAAACCAGTAAAATGCTGGTCTACTCCGACGTCTTTTACCGGTGCAGTAGACGTCGGAAACTTTCCAGTGCCATATGCGCCGGCAAAAATGTCGTAAACGTTCCTTCGCACGATGCGTCGTATTTGCCGACGCAAATTTTTTCGCCGGAAAATCCAACGGTAATCGCGTGTTTTCCCGTAGTGGGTGACATGGCACAATTTTTTTAGTCTCCGAACGTCCTCAGGACTCCGCACATAATAATAAATCCTCATAAAAATTATAGCTTTCATTAAATTCCATGCAAAAGTGACAAAACTTTTTTCATCTTTTGGGATGAGGTTCTTTCAAAGCCAAGGAAACCATCAAAGCCCAATCACCAATTGGCAAAGAAGTCCCCAAGCATACCAACTTGCTAGCTTAACTTGAAGTTGCTAGAGACTTTATGAGAAGCTTCTCACCATTTAGTTGAAAGTAATGAGTTTTTTATGTAATTAAATAAATTAAAAATTTAGATTTATTCATTTTCTAGTTAGTAATTGTAACTACATATATTATTATATAATTTTTATTGAATGTAGTCATTCATGTAGTATTGTATCTTAAACCAAATTTATAAATATGGAGCCATAGGTTCAATCTTAAATTCTCAATCATATAATTTTCTTTGTTTTGTACCTTTTAACATCAATTTAGTAAAATTTAGAGCTACTCTCTTTCTCTCTCTTCCCTCTTAGGCAAGCTAGTTCATGCTTATTAACAAAATTCCATTGTTACTCGCAAACAAATTTGTTGCGTTGTTTTCTTATTGGGCACTACTGACCATGGGATGGAGGAATAGGAGTTACTATGTGAGCTTAAAAGGGAAGCTCTGATACATAACAAGGAGAAATAATTAATATCTTCATTCACTTGATTTGAACAAAATAGGAAAGGCATCACACAGTTTTTACTTGATTTTTTTTTTTTTTGAGACATTTAGGTCAATTAAGACAAATTCATACGAACTACATCACATACGCAAGATTGAAATTTGTAATCCAAGATCTCCCGATTGATAGCATAAGCTCCCAACCAACAAATCAAGATAAGCTGTGTATTTTTACTTGATATCAGAACTAATTCCAGCTTTTTGAGATCAAGATATCGCACTGTTTGTTAATCCAAACAATCCTTATCATCACTCACTTTCCCTAAACAAGTCGAGACAGCTCTCCATCCTTAGCCCACCCTTCCAAAACTTTTCAGAATAGTCCCCGTATGTAAACTTCTTATACAACCTGGGATGCTCCTCGTCAACTAACTCCTCAGCCGCCTCCACCACCGTCTCAGGCCCCGGACAGTAAAACGTCGGCACCGACAACCTCTCGATGTCCTTGTTCACCACTGCTCGATGTAGCACGCTCGTGTACCTGCCATTGCTCAGCACCTGAAGCTGATCCCCAACATTCACCACTAGCTCACCGGCTTCCGCCTCCACCGCCACCCATTTTCCATCCCTCATCACCTATAGTATCAGAGAATCAGAATTCAAATTCAGTGGGGTGTGTATAAAAGAAGCTTAGTGAGATATATATCTACCTGCAAACCGGTCACCCCATCCTGCATCAGAATCGTGATAACATTAGGGTCTTTATGCGCCGGCAAGCCATACGTGAGCTCCGGCTGCGGGCACTGTGGATAGTAATTGATCGCCATATGCTGCGCGTGCCTCCCAAGCGCGCTTTCGAGGTATCCACTCTTCAGGCTAAGGCTTTCCGATATCGCGCTGAGAAGGCGGAGCGCGAGGCGGCGAACGTGCGAGGCATAGTCAGCCGCCGCCGGCTTGAAGGACGGCGGCTGCGAAGGCCACTCGTTTATGAAGGCTTCGATTGGGTGGCAGTGGAGGCGGAGATAGTCTCTCCAGCTCGGAAGCTTCTCCGTTGCAATGTTGAAGCTGGTGGAGAGGCGGGTGCTCTTCGTGGGGTCGTCGGAGTAGTTCTTTAGTCTTACTGATTCGGGAAGGAGGAAGAAGGCCTTGGAAGCGTCGAGCATGCGGTGGAGGACCTCTTTTGGAATGCCGTGCTTTTTCACCTGTTTAAGAAAATAATAATAATGATTTAGGGGCCCTAAAAATAATTAAAATATAGACAAGGAGTTAGGATAATTATTTGCAGATGATAAATATTTCATGTAAATTACATGATCAAAATAAATTATTATTATTTTTTATTTAATTTTAAATAATAAAAAAACAAGTTTTCTTGTACGATAAGATAATAATTAAAATGAAAAAAAAGGTCATGGAATCAACCTGATCAAAATTTTAAAATTTATTCTTTATAATTGCAATAAAATGCATTTATTTATTATATTTATTTTAATGTAGATTTAAAAATAGCAAAATATTCTGATATAAACTTTTTTATTAAAAATAGTTCTATTTGTGTCAAATTCTTTTTTAATGAAATATTTTGAAAGGAAAAAATAATTATTTAAAATTAATGAAAATTTAAATATATGTTTATATATTTATAATTAAAAGATATTTGTTTTATGCAGCAAAATACTACAGCGCTTATTCATTTTATGCCCTAAGAAAAATAAAATTATTTTCTTATAATTTAATTTATTTTAACACAATACGTTTTTGAACAAACTTTTTTTCTTATGCATGATGATTAACGCCGTGCCGTGCCGTGTTGTATTGGCGTGGTTCTTCGTGCTTATGTGGGACCCACCGATCATGCCAGTGTGAAATGGCGTGACCATATGACTACTATTAAATAACAAGGACAGGATCCCATTTTTTTAATATTTTATATTTAAAATTTAAGATGATAAATCAAGTTGTTTTTAGAATATTTAAAAAATTGTTTAAAAAAAAAATACTTGAAGCATCATTATCATAACCACCACCGCTCGAACTTTTATTTGGTCCGGTCAAAGTTCGGCCGCCAATAGAATCGCGCCACGCGTTCTCACTATTTACCGCGCGGCTCGACAACCCGACTTGGAACAGACCCCTGATGGCTTGGTATTTCTCGATTTTGCTAGGTATTGCTAGGTATTGATCGATTTTGGTCGGCAATAATCAATACCGAGCAAATACCGAGTAATACCGAGAAATACCGAGTTGTACCGAGGTATTTCTAGCAAATACCGAGTTTTTTTAGAAAAACTCGGTAAGAAAAAACTCGGTACACTCAGTATTACTCGGTATTTGTCTTCACAGAGCGGTATTTCTCGTTATTGTCAAGCAATACAGAGCAAATACCGAGTAATACCTCGCAATACGCGAACATAGCATTCCCGGGTTCCGGTCCGGGTCAAGTCGTCGGGCCGCGCGATAAAGAGTAAGAGCACGTGGCGACATATTATTGGCGGCCGAACGTAGCTCTACATTCGATCAGAGGACGTAATAATTGTTCCCACCGCTCACTGCTATTTCAACCACCACTAAAACTAGCAATTGTCACTATCGCCCCCTTCTATCATCATTATTGACAATCACCACCATTATTATAAATATTATTGCCACCATCCCTCCATCTTCCACCACCACTAGCTCTCACCATCACGTCAACAACACCCACCCTTCGCCATCGACGATAGTTGCATCATCTTAAAATTCAATTTTAAATTGCGAAGAACCTTTTAAGGGTCCAATTGGGATTGTTACAGGCTTCTTTTGGAACGGCTTTTTTACTGCTTTTTTAAACCAAAATTTAGCATAAAATTTTTAATTTTTATACCAAAAAACTGTTTTAAGAAGCATGAAGAAAATCGTCCCAAAGAAAATCATAATCTTTTTGTAAAAGTAGTTTAAAGCTGATGTAAAAAAATAATTTTGTTAATACCGTTATAATATTAGTGTTTAAGTGAAACATATAAATTTTGGCCCCACCAAAAGAATCTTGTCACATAACTAAGAAGAGCCGGTGATATCATATTCTATTGTCTCTCTCCTGTTGATTTGTTCGTGGTCTTCTGCTGTTGGGTTTTTGTCTTGCTCTTCTCACCTGCTTGTCCTTCAGCAATGGTGGGGTCTTGTAGTCTTGGCTTCTCCCCATGACATTGCTATATTGGCCAGATATTACTGAGTCCATAATGGTTATTTTTTTTTCTTTTTATTTGCTTATTTTTATAGAGAAATGTTCCTTTTTTATTATTTTTTTACTTTTCTATGAATTTTTACCTTTTATTTTACTATGACTTTTTGCTGTCATAAGTTTTGATTAATTAAATGGCTAAACGTAGCCCTCAATTTTCCAAAAAAAACAAAAAAAACAAGAAAGATCTCACCTTCACTAAAGGGAAATTATGTATTTTTCCGAATTTTAGGCTGAAAATTCTGAATTTTTCAGTGGATTTCTTAAAATATTTTTAATGATAAATTAAGCGTCGACGAAAAAATTTTACGACGGCTGTCCGACGGAAAAACTCAAAGGGAATAACTAAAAAAAGATTTTAAAAATTTTAATTTTGGCATCTGTCCGTCAAACGTAAGCCCGCCAACCATGCCGGCCCTTAGTAGCGCCCGCCCATGTGGCTCGCACCAGCCCTAGTGCGCCCGCGCACAGCACCCGCCCGCATGGCCTGTATCAGCCCGCGGTGCGCCCAGCGCCCACCCGCATAGCCAGCGCAGGCGCCGCCAAAAAAAGTACATGAAAATTTGTCGGAAATATTTTAATGTAACCCGTCTAAAATCCACCAAAAGATCTGTAGATAATAAACACTTTTCTTGTAGTGCTCGTAATTTTCTTGGTCGTTAGTTTGAAGAATAAACCAAGTTCATAAGGAGCAAAAATACCTTGAAAAAGCCAGCATTTTTGCATGCCATGCCGATTTCAGTGACCACCTTGTGGCGATGAGGGCCATTCAGACCTGAAAGATCAATCACAGGGATGGCTTCACCTGAGTTTTCGACGCCATCGAGCTCTGGTCGGTCACCGGCCGGTCGTATGTAGTTTGAGGGAATGAAGGGAGAGTCAGAGGCAAAGTCGGCAAGGAGAAACTTGAAGGAAGACGATGCCGCCATTGTTTACCTACAAAGAGAAACTAAGTTTTGAATATCTCTCTCTTTATAAATTCTATCTTTGCTTGCTCTGAAGGAGGAAGGAAGCAGGTGCCACATTTATATACACGAATGGCGAGTCTTTAGTTGCGGCTAGATCTGTTCTTTTGCGTTTAGATGTAACAACGGGGTGATGTCATGTGCTTAGGTCATCGAGTAATACGTCATGGGGTTGAAAGACAATAAAAGTAGCAATAAATGCTACTAAAGATTAATTATTATGTGTGTACGAGTCGAAGATCGTGTGGAAACCAATCAAAATGCGCCTCTTCATTCCTACGTTGTGTACAACTGATCGGTACTGCTTGGTACCGCTCGGTAATGCTCAATATCGTGGCTGTACTGCTGACATAACTGCACCAGATTCGTCTCCGGACGTAGAAATGTGTCTGATCTCTGCACAAAATAATTTCTCAATGCTAAGAGTTTTCACTATCAACTAAGGGCTTTTGGATTAGTGTTTTATATTTTTGAAGTGTATTTGAGTTCAACTTATGTTTCATTTTAGATAGTTTTCATATTTTTAATATAAAAATTTTTTAATTTTAATTTTTTTTTACTAAAATGTTTCATTATAAAATAGTAAGAAAGCTATTCCAAATGAATATTTCGTTTGGTACTTTTTCTTTCTTGCTTCTTATAACAATTTTTTAGCACAAAAATTAAAATTTTTATATTAAAAAATTATTTTAAGCCATGAGAAAATTGTATTAAACGAAGTTGAAGTCTTAATTGGCCGTATTGTAAAATAAAAGAAAATTAAAAAAAAGGAGAAAAACTTTATGCTGTTATGGAAGAGAATATTCAAAAGCGTCGGTAGCTTTTTTTTTTTTTTTTTTTTTAATTTATATAGGATGAAGTGTCCTAATTTATTCATTCGTATCTTTTCTTTATTTTTCAATCAATACGGTAAAACAAATAATAAATGATCTCCAACATATCTCACATAACATCTTTTTTAATATTAAATTGATTTGGATAAAAAATTTAGATACCCTAAAGATAGGAAAAAAAAAAAAGAATTTGAAGTAACATAAAAGAGTCCATTTTTAAATTTGAGGTGTATTAAGATGCATTTTTTTTTTCTTATTCTATAGCATATTTAGACGTTTTGGTAGAACATATATTTTGGTTCATAAATATATTATGTGCATCATCAACTAAAATGTTATGTGCATGATGTCATCATTGTTGATCGAGCTCGACATAATAAGTGAGGCAAGTAATTGATGATGCATTGAGTTTGCACATCATTTTAGAATATATTAGTTCATGATGCAATCATGTTAAGGACATGAAAATGTTGGAATATAAGTTAGGCATGATAACATGCAAGTTAAGTGTTGCGCATACATAGAATGCATTTGATTTGATAAGGAGCTTGCTTGAATCTATTAGGTGGGGATGATACCTCAATAAATGATCCAAAATAAGGTATTGATAGTCAATAGGTTGATTCATTTTGTGTGCTAACCTAGTTGGAACATGATTACTTAAAAGATTTAATTAAGCTTATTGTATATGTTGAGACAAATTAGGCTGATATGTATTAATGCGCGTGTGTTGAATATAGTTGTTGCGGGCTAGATTATACGCGGCAGTAGAGTTAGAAAATTTTAATCTGAGCGTTGCATGAATATCTAGCACACACAAACATAATATAAAAGAACACCATAATTTTTATGTGGAAAACCCTTAAAAGGGGAAAAACCACGGGGTCACGCCCAGTTGAAAAGTTTCACTAATGTCGTTTGAGATACAAGAGGCTGATTAGTCCCACAAGTTAGGACGATCAGATTACAATGAGTTTCTTCTGAATTGAAATTCAGTTGCAAAGTTGTACAGAGTTCCGGCATCACCTGAATATCCGTCAGAATTCCGGCGTTATTCAGGCAGTGGAAAGAACTTCGACGGTGGTCGAGGAGGAGCTGACTCTCCTTCTCCTTCTCTTCTTCTTCTCTTCTTCTTACTTGATCCCCCTCTCATGAGAAATGAATATAGTATATGGGCATAGGGCCAATGAATGTGTGTGTGTGGTATCCTTAGTTAGGGAGGTCCAAATTAAAGTCATTGTGGGGTCAAAAATCGGGTCAATCTCGGGTTTTCGGGTCAAAAATCGGGTCAATCTCGGGTTTTCGGGTCAAAAATGATTTTTCGTGTCACTTTCGGGTCAATTTCGGGTTAGCGGGTCAACCCGAACACGACCCGATTTTTAAAACGGGTTGATTTCATGAACCCAAACCCGATCCGTTTCGGGTTTTGGTTGACTCGAACCCGGATTTTTTCTGGTCGGGTTCGGGTCGTGTCAAAAATTGACACCCCTAATTAAGATCGAGCTTATAAGTGTAACAAAAGTGAGGTCATCGTCATAGAAGCATTGAGAGTACAATTAAGTAAAGGGAAGTAAGCCCATGTAGCTTTGTTGGCTATTAGGGGGAAAATATGAATAAGGCCTTATTATGTGCCCTAGGAAAAAAGAGAAGATTGTAGTAATTTAGAGGGATTAGAATTCATGTTGAGAATCAATTGGATTTTCAACTAATCTCTTAAAAAATAATAATAATAATAATAGAGGGATGGAGGACACTAGGTTATCGTATTTTCATAGCTTTAAATATAACATAGACAAGGATCACTTTAGGCTTATAGTTGATTTGAATTAGTTTATATTTTGAGAATTTAAAAATATTTAAAATTTGCTTTTAAATGAATTCCAAAGGTTATTTGGAGAATATTTTTTAATAAATGAGTACGACGACATAAGCACTCAAATGTTATCAAAATTTTAATTAGTTGACTCAATTGTTCTAGCTAGTTGAATCCAATCGGGTTTCATTTAATAACTTGATTTTTTTTAATTAGACAAAAAACTATTTGTTATATCTTTTGAGTGATAAGGCTTGATGCATAATCTAATTAGGCTCAAATGAAAATTAAGTCTAGATTATATTAGGGCTAATTATGAGCAATGCATGACTAATGGTAAATATGGATAACAAGAGAATAATTCCATGGCCATGCAAACTTTACTTAAATTTTAAATTTGGCATGGCTAGCCTACTGGATTCTAGGGGCAATTCAAGTCAGGTACTGACTCACATGTCAAGCTTATTGTATGTATTAAATTAACTGTGGGAATGTAAGTGTGACAAATGCATCTAAAAGTGATGTCAACATAAATAAGAAATTATTTCATTCACAAAATCCTAATTTTATTAATTATGAAGTGGTATTGCTCATTAATTCCACCATGGGTTGTTGATGATGCTTATCAATATTACCATTAAGAATACACTACCACTTTAAATTTACCTTTGAGGAATGAATATAATTTTGTATTTTGATTTATGTGATTTTTAGTCGCTTCTACTGAATTGATTTATAGTGAGGAATTCATATAAGCTCAAGTTAGTTAATTGATGGATAAATATATAATTCTTTCAAATTAGATCCTAGGGTGTGACATAAACTTATACCCAAAATTGACCTGCCTGTAACCCGATTTAACTGATTACCCGACCTGATCCGCTGACATGGTTACATGCGCTCGGTGATTGAGTGCAGGTGGTCGAGCTGGCAAGCAAGCGTGAGATTGATGAGAGAAAAGCAAGATGGACAAGTGTGACATTCAAGCACAATTTACTTTCAGGTTTTTGGGACGTTGACTTAAACCCGACCCAAATATACAATTAAGTTAGAATTTGAAACCTGAACCATTTTCCAAACGGGTTGACTTAGACCCAAAATTTTTAGGTTAGGTTTTCATATCGTGCCAAATACTCGCACCTTATCTCCAACGAGAGAAGATCAAGTGGAGCCTCACACTTTCCCACCACATATTCAGGGTTTCCTTAAATGGGCCTCATCTTTTGCCAATCATTTAGACATTATCGTCACCTTAAATGGACCTCACCTTTCACTAGTCATTTCATCTTCATGGGTCTAGACTTTCCTATTAAAAGGGACTTATCTGCTACTAAATTTAAAACTTATTGCAAATAAGGAGTCAGCTTCCTGAGCTAGTGTGCCTTTTTTAACTCATAGTTATGTTTGATGGGACACATCATTCTTGTGGGTAACCATCTTGACTCGCTTGCTGAAAGGCGACTCATATGCTACTCAATACAAATATTATCACAAAAAAAGCAAGTTCTTTCGAGAGATATGGTTATTTAGATGTTATTTTTTAGCCCTCGAATTTCTAAAAAATGAAGGAAAACATGAAATAATTTAATTTATTAAATGAGCATAGTTAAACGAAACTTGATATTTTCTTTTAAACTATTTAGTTGAGAGGGATGCTTATTTTGAGCTCTCAGAATCCCTAAAACTTGCCAAGATGATTTGATTATACTAAGGAGGTGAGATCTCTAAACATAGAAAGTCCTTCATCTTTGGGGCGTTGGTTCTCCTGCATGTTTTGTGCTTAGGGGATTCAGCTTACCTATAGAGAGAAGTCTCATCACTCTTAGACTTGAACCTCGACTAAAACGTTACAATCTTCAACCCAATTAGTTGACCTTTATCATTTCATTTGTTATGTTATTCATATGAGTTATAAATATTTTTTTTTTAGTTTTATTACTTGTTAAGGCTTGAAGTTAGCCAACTTAAAGCTTGTTAGGTCATAACAAAAGCTATTTTTAACATCATTTTTTCCTTTAGCTTAAACTATATGAGTGAGTTCTCAAGTGATAAAAAATATAATAATAAGACATGATATGATAGGTACAAATTAACACATATATGTGGGCTACGCTAAATGTTGTACATATGGTCCTTTCTCTCTAACGCGACCTTGCCCTTACCATGGCTTGAGGAAGGCCTTTCTGTGTATCTTGGATAAGTCTTTTAGGGGCAAGTGCCTTATATGAGTCTTCAAGAGCGTGTGTGGGGTTAAGATGGGTCCTTCAATTTGAGTGGTGAGTTCTCTAGGTGACTCATGACTATGAGTCGAGGATGAGACTATAAGTCAAGGTCGAGCACATAACTGATAGAGTCATGCTCCTAGGCCTTGTAGTTGTGTACTTCTTGGAGCTTTAATTAGGTCATTCATGGAAGATGGTCGGCCTTATCTCAAGAATATTATCGAGGGGAGTGAATCCTCGTGGGGCGAGCTCGGGGTGAGCCATATAAACCAAACACCTAGAATGAGTGCTTCCTCAATATGGTCCTCTAAGAGCAAGCTCATATGATAGGAATTAGACTGGATTGAATAAATGATTGCTCATATATTGTTGTTGAGGCCTACCCCTCAAAAAAAGACTTTCTTTGACCCACCATGACTTTGAGAGAGTGTCCCCTCTAATCTTGCTCATTAGATAGAAACTTATTTTCCTACATAGGCATGCATATGGACATACAATCCCACTTTTAAAGTCATTATAAATGTTACTAATTTTAAAGCATCATTATGTCTCATTATATTGATTAGTCAAAAAATATGATCATAATCACCCAAATTTTACTAATATTGAAATATCCAATTTGGGCTAAGCCTTATAATCTTTTAGCTCCATATTTTTCATATTAAATAATATTATGTTCAACTGTACCATACTTGCAATTTGAAATTGAGATGAATTAATATGTTGTACATCCAAATTTGAAATTTATAAATATAAAAAAGCCTTAAAAAATTTGCTTAGTGATAAGTTGAATAATATCAATTCTGAGGTAACCTAATAATTTGGAGTTGAATTTGGCCATGAGCTTATTATAAGATATATCTCTGACCGTACGTTGTTCTTCATCGCCTCTATTGCACACCACCAGCAACCTTTTTCGTCTTCTTTGCAGCTGGAGTCGATACAAAGTGAGGAGAAAAATGAAATTAAGAGTGAAAAAAAAGGCCAAAGAATCAAAGATTTCTACACACCTCACCGGCATTTCGACTTATTGATTATTTCGGCATATATACTTTCGATGGAGCCTATGGTTCTTTGAATTGGTTTCTCATCTGCGATGAGAAGGTGGGAATATGCTTGATTTCGACCTATTATACCTCTTGATTGGCGCATCTACCTTGCTAGTTGTTTATGGATACTCTGAGTTTCTTTGTTTTTCATGTTGCCTTGCTTTTTTTTTTTTTCTTGTAATTTACTTATTCTGCTTTTAATTTTGTGGAAGTTGGAGTTCAAATTGAATTATGATTCCTCGTCATCATCTATTTTGATAAAGAAGGGAATTGGCAAGATTTACCTTTAGCTAGAAAAGAACTAAGGGGTTTTCATATGATAAGTTTCTTTTGGAAGATTTTGAACAATATTGGGAGAGGATGCACAAATTAGGGTTGTATTTCTAACGAATGTTTATACAAGCTTGTCCATGGTTGGGCATGGCTTGAGCTTTTGTCATGCATTACTTTTGTTGATTCTTCAATGCTTCTTGGCAGTAATTTCAAATTCATGGCATCTAGAATACTTTGATGCCCTTGTTGCTCCATATTTTTGAATACACTTAAAATTTATTTTGTTTTTCGACTTTTCTACGAACTATTAATTCAACTAATAAAAGAAAAGTCTAATACATATAATTTGATTAAAAGATATGTTCTTTGTGATTTTTTTTTTTAAAAGTATGCTCTTTTATCATTTTTTCATATCTTTTCTTAGGTTTGAGCTCTTGTACTAGATGTTGTGCTATACTTGTTATGTAAGCAAAGTTGTTTTTTTGACTTTAAGGGCATGTTTGGCAACAATTAGGATTTACTAAATCATGGAAATCCTGATTTAGTAATTCCTCACATGCTAAATCCTGAAAATTGTTTGGCAACATAGTTGTTAAATCTTGTTAAATTGTGTGATACTGTTTGACAACGTAATTCAGGATTTAAAGCAGTTAGTTCATTTAAAAATTAAATTTAATATATTTTAAATTTGATTTACCTATTAAGTATGAATTACTTATTAATTTTTAATTTAATTACCATTAATGATATAATAATATATTTGATATTTAATTATATTGATAATTCTCTAATTAATTAGTTTATTATTTTTAAAAATAATTAATTATTTGACTAATAAACCTATTAATAATTTAATTAATTATTTAAGTATTATTTAGTTAATTTTAATTATAAATTTTAGTATTAATTATCTCATTAATCATTTAAGTATTTTACTACTCATTAATTAGTTAATTATCATTTACACTACTTATTATATAATTAATAATGTCTATTTTAAATTATATTAATTAAGCTAATTATATTATTTTTAATTACAAATTATACTATTAATTGTTCCATTAAGCTAACTTAGATAATTTATTTATGTATTAATTAAACTACTAATAATTTAATTAATTTTCTTAATTATTAATATTTTAAATTATATTAATTAAGTTAAATTAGATTAATTTCTTCAAATAGGTTAGAGGCGTCTAGGTTTGCTTTTCTTCTATTTCGTGCTGTTCGTCTTCGTTGCTTCTGAGGTAGAGCTCTGGACGAGTCTCTTCTTCGGCTTCTTCGACGACGTTCCCTTCCTGTCTGGATCGGAGGGCTCGACATTTTAATAGGGAACAACAACGGGAGCTCGCTTGCTGTGAAGGTAACTATCTTTCTCCATTTCGCGTGCTTCTTCGGCCAAATCCCGTAAATCTGCGAAATTTCAGGATTTACTAAATCCGGAATTTACGGTGCAAAAGGGGAGACGGAGGATTTGTTCCTCCGTGAGATTTAGCGGGCGCTCAAAATCCGATTGGCAGGATTTGGCATAAATCCTGCTCAAAATCAGCATAAATCCTTTGAAATCCTGCATCCAAACTGCCCTTAAAGGTACAAATGTTGTTCATTAGCCTTATCCTACACATTATTGAAATTCATGAACCATACTTCTAACAGAACACAATAACACTTTCAAGCCAATAATGTAAACGTAGAATAAGAAGGGGAGAAGAAAAGAAAGAAGATAGTCTGTTTTACCTTCTAGCTTGATACTTTCTGTGTAATTCAGGCTCATGTACCTGAAATTTAGCTCAAGGAAGTGGCATGCGATAGTCTGTCCAATAACAGCCAAGTTCTGCAAGGAGTTTGCCACAACGCTCGAGCCATCACATGGGAAGCCGGCGTTCCCAAGTTCCCACGACACAACAGTCTTCTCCAACTATTTTTCCAGAAAGTAGAGAGAAAGTTAAAGGTTTGAGGTCTAGCGGGTCTGATATTGTCAAAGATGATCCAGAAAAGGCCAAGTCCCACGAGCATAGAATTGATATTGGAGATGAACAATCTGACTTGTTAGAATTTGAAGTTTTCTCTGGAAAGCTAGCTCATGATAAAAAATACAGAACTGTTCATAATGAGAAAATAGTGTTGGAAGCTGCAGCTGCAGCTAGTGTCGAAGCAAAACTTACAAGAAAGGCCTTGACTTGGGGCTCTCATATGCTTGGTCTTGAGGATGTTATATCTGTAAGTTGTAAGAAAAAAATATTATTTGATAACATCTATTATTCTTGTAAGCTGTTCTTCCTAAAATATGATTATGTTGTGCTAGGTATCATATACTGCTGGTGTGCGTTATTTTACAGTGCATTCATACCCGTTCATAAAGCGGAGAAATGGGCTTTCTTGTTTGTTGAAGCCAAAAAGAAGTAGGAGGGACTTCCGTTTCTGTTCTTCTACTTCGGAAGAAGCCGTCCTGTGGGTTAAAGCCTTTGCAGATCAACATTGTTTCGTAAATTGCTTGCCTCATCCTATGGTTTCTAAGAAGGAATCTACCGCTGAGATTGATGACTGTGAACCTCTGTATGCTGAGCCTAGCATCAAATGCAGAATTCCACCAAAAGTGCTCATTATATTAAATCCTCGCTCTGGACGTGGTAGATCGAGTAAAGTCTTCCATGGCAAAGCGGAACCAATTTTTCAGGTGTGTTTTGATTTTACAATTGTGGTTGTATTTCTATAATCAACTTAGAAACTGATTGAATTTTTTGATGCTGTACATGTTTACTTTTATTTGATTGATGGAATGCTAAAATAAGATCAAATGGTGCTTGTTATGCTGCTATAGTTCATTAGGTGATGCTTCTTAGAGGGTTTATTTTGTGCCCTGTTAAGTGGTAAAAATTTGAAGTCTTGATGGTGCATGCAGTATAGGGCTTTAGTGTTTGGTTTTCCATTCTGTTGAGTAACTATCACATCTAAAGTTCTGCAGCATCCAAAGGGGGGGGGGGGGGGGGGGTTATGCAGATCATTTTGAACGACTTGTTTGATTTACATCTAGTTTATATTTTAATATTAAAATGTAATGACATTCTGTAGGTCTGGAGGTTTGCATGGCAGTCAAGCAACTGTTATTCTTGTCTGGATGACCAGGATCAGGCCTGGAATAAATCCATATTTTGTACCACTTTTTAGAACTAAACTTTTCATTAATTTAAGTAATGCACTTGATTCTTGTTAGGCACATAAATGAAATTCAACTCAGTTTGATTAGAGTTTTGATATGAACTAGATCTTTTATTTTAAATATTTCTTGATGCTTTCCAGCAACACTGCTGTTGACAGGTCCCAAGTCCTGGATGCGAAAAATGAAGGGTTGCGTTAGGTAATTAACAGTCAGCGTAAAACTTGTCAAATAATCATGACATGAATCCTTAATGCTTTCTAGCATTTTTATGGGCACATTGTAACATATTTTGTGCTGTCATAATTGATAAGTACTTTCCCGGAAAAATTAAGAATACTTGTGGAATTTTAAGATGATGTTTTTGTATTTGTAAGTTGTAACCACATGCTGCTGTTCAGGGGTGGGAATAATCCAAAGAAAATATGACACGACGCAAAATGAAAATTTTGATGAGGATGATCATTCAAGTGTGTGGTGAACTTTTGCTTTATTACCACATTATTTTGCAATGCCCTGTTGGAGATGGAACGTTTGGGCCTCTTGAACTTTGCTGGCTGTACATATGCAGAAGCGGAAGAGAGGAGCTTTTTACTAATTTTTCTGATTGAGTTGCTCTTCTCTAAACATGGATTTGAGTGCTACTGCAGCTCTTCATGACATAATTTCGTGAATTCCCTTGTCTAAAGAGAGGAATGGAAGAATTGGTAGGGTGAGGAAGAAGTCAGGTATTTGGGAGAGGTGTGCATTTGTTATATTAAGATACAAAGTGAAGATTTGGTTGTTTTCTGTAATTCCATTTCCATTTCCATTATCTGAAATAATAAGAGGAGATCATTGTTGCTGCTAATTTATTAGAGTTGGGATTTGTTAGGATTGGGTAAAAGGGATATTTTTCTTCGTTGTTGGATAATGTTATGGATGGTGAAGGTGTTTTTCTTGGAAGAAGTATCTAATTTTCAATTATGCCCCTTATCAGGTGCTATTCCCTATTAGTTGGTACCCTATCTCGAGCGTAGTAGTGGCTTGCATTAAAGGCAATGTACCCTTGCTACACTTATCTGTTTATTTATTTTTTTATAAATAAAAATGCCAAAGAAAAAAAAAAAGAACTTTTTATCAATTCCTTGCATATATAGCCTTTTTGATCACAATAGACCAGGCACTTCAAGTTGTGGTTGACAATTCTTGCTGTCTATTGACGAGACTAAAATACTTTCCGTCAATTCTCTTTAGTGATTTAGTTGTCAAATTAACAAGACTGATAAAAAATTGAGAGGTTGTCAGCAAATAATTAGAACCAAATCTCGTTATTACCGATAGAGATATTCAAGGTGGCACTTATGAAGGACCTTTAAGAGAAGTGTCATATTGTACATTGTTGACTATGCTTTTTGGTTGCATTTATGCTAAAATAAGGACTTTCGTGCAGTTCTCTATAAACATTCGAAAGTGCTTCTCTATAGACAGGTCCATGGAAACTTTGCCTGATCTACCTATTCTGTGCTAGCTTTGCATATCCATGATGTCAGGTGAATATGGATTGAATGCTCATAGAACGACAAAGAATTTTTAATGGGTATGCTCTCATGAAGTCATATCGAATATCAGCCATTTTATATTACATTGATCACAATTTTTTGCTAGATGAAATATATTTAAAGCATGGCACATGGTAATATTTAAAAGAGAACTCATAAATATGCTTGTCTCATTCATTGTGTTTTTTCTTCTCATTTTTTATTTAGTACTTGTTGCCAGCTTGCAGGTTTTGAAATGGACGTGGTTAAAACAACATCAGCTGGTCATGCAAGAAAACTTGCCACCAATGTTGATTTCAGTTCTTGCCCTGATGGTATCAAATGCCATTTCATGCACTGCTATTCATGCAACATTAATCTATTAAGTGTGTTATCATAATATTTTTTCTGTGTTGTAGGAATTATATGTGTTGGCGGTGATGGGATTGTGAATGAGGTAAGTTTCTGTAATTTCCTTCATTTGAACAGCTAATCCTTTGAAGACGTGAAGCATTTATATCAGTCATTAGCCTAATCTTGAATTTTTAGTTGATATCATGAGTTTTTACACTACAATATCATGTATAGATTAATTTATTATTATTTTTGTACCAAAGAGTGAATTTAATCAAGCTTAAAAGATGTGGTGACCATAATTTTTTTTTGTTTCATGATGCAGGTTCTTAATGGTTTGTTAAGTAGAGCTGATCAGAAAGAAGCCATTTCAATCCCAATTGGCATCATCCCTGCTGGATCTGACAACTCACTCATTTGGACTGTTCTTGGAATCAGAGATCCGATTTCAGCAGCACTAGCTATTGTCAAGGTATCCAATCTTGGTTTTTCAAGTAACCTTTTGTTTTGCATATTTGCATTACCACTCTTATAAATCTATTGCCAACTACTTAACATGGTTCCAAACTTTGTATTACCATACTTCAAAGTTACGGGGAATGCTATTTGTGATGCATGGGTAGAGAAAATTCTTGATAGAATTGTCATGTTGAGAATTAGCTTATTATATTGGTAGTGATGCTTGATTAAAGTCTGATTTTGATTATAGTGATTGTCCTTTTATAGACCATGGTCTCTTTATCTGTTGGCACTGAAAATCTTATGGCTTTTGGCTTAATGATGATTAATTAAGTAAAATAATCTTCAATAACTTGAAAATGTGAACCAAATTCATATTGATTGGCTTATTGCATGCCTTTATTTTGTTTAAGTATCAATTAATATGTAATAAATATTTTTACGAAGAACTATTGAATCATGATGTCATGCTATAGGCCTTTGAGCTATTTAGTTTGCTCGGTACGACAAATACTCAACTAGCAAAGAGAACTAAGGTTTCACCAAGAGAGGTTGTTCATTTGGTATATTGTCATCCCTAAGCTTTAGAGGACTCTTTGATTTAGGTAACTCAAGGTTTTGTAATAAGGCTTACAATTATTACTAAAGTTTGCAATACATAGCCCACGTTATAGTTTGTTTGTTAACTTAGAAAAAAATAGTGACAAAAAACTCTGAGCTTTATCTACAACTATAACACAACTCCGAATTTGAGGTTATGGCTGCCAAGGTTTCCTAACTCTTTGGAGTGGGGTTGATTTGGTAATCTCTTGAATGAAATAGGATTTGCCTTCATCCCTATAACTATTTCCCCTATACGCACATAATTTGGTGTGATAATATTATACATTTGCAAAAGAGCATGTATAAAGTTGTGTCGAGTGACATCTTTAATTGAGAGTGCACTTTCGAAATGATTCATTTATAATAGTCTCAAACCTAAATTTAAATAAAAAATCAATATCAAGTTGCGAAATCTTTTTTATATCAATCTTCCTCTTAGAAAGGCTCTATTCTAAATCATAAAAATTAGGATCCTCTTTCAGACCTTACACAATAGCTAGTGATCGAGGCATTTAACTTATGTTGCAATGGGTGAATATATTTCACAAACATGTCAAGTATTTGCATGATTAACACTAAGGTGCATTTGAGTACTTAAGGTTATGATCTCATACATTTAGACCCTTGGATATTTATTTTTTATCAGCAAATTTGATCCCAATCCTTTTGGTCCTTTGGTTCATTGCCATTAATTACAATGTTGTAAATGTCAATGGATAATTAAATCACTAACTATACTTCATTATTTGTTTCAGTCTACTCTATCTGAGTTTTATGTAGCTCTTTACAAATTTTCTTGGGGTTTACACTGGTGCAAAAGGACACTCCGAGATCCTCACTTGCAATTTTAAGAAGTGGGCCCTTTCACTCATCAGATCTTTTTACAAGTTTTCTTGGGATCTATAAAGATCATGATGTTCTTCCTCCCCTTTAGAGTTCTAGGTCACCTCCAAGATATTGTTTCCAATGTGGTGTAAAAGGACACTTCGAGATCCCTGCTTGCATCACGTAGTGGGATAAAGGCTTGATGTTGTTGTTGTTTCCTCTTCATCACTATTTTATTTAGGCAAAGTTTATACCATTTAATACCAAGAAATGCTACAGTTCCGCATGAAACCTTCTAAGAAATGCTACAGTTCCCCAAGAAACCTTCCAACCTTCCAAGGAGCTTTCAAGGTCAAATAGGGCTCATTTATAGGAAAGATTATTACGTGCGGAGTTCGGGCCGAAGAACCGTCCGATTTTTGTGAGTGTGCGCAGTAAAAGCGCAGTTACTGTTCACCACTGCACTTTTATTGCACACACTCACAAAAATTGGACGCAGTTTAGGCCCGAAATCCGCACGTAATAATCTCTCCATTTATAGGTTTAAAGAGTTTTACCTCAAATCAAAATATGGCCCATTGAATTTGACCGTTTTCTGGATGGACATTCTTTTGTTAAAGTTTAACGGTTGTATATTTTTTAATTTTTTGAATTATGTCAGTTTTTGCTAAACAATGTTAGGTTTATGTTCAATTAATGTACTATATCATAGGATTTATGTATATCAACCTAAAATTAATTTCTTTCTTTCTGATACAAGTTTGCAACTGGATGCATAATTGAAAAATAATTGTACACAAATTTAAGGAGTGCAAAATAGACAATTATTAGTCAATATTGATGAAGCATCTAGCAATATCTAAATGTGATACTTTTAATAATCTTAGATATATTATATTGAAGAATGGAATAATATATGGATTATGATATACTTTCTAGATATAAAGTTGGTTGAAAAAGAGAACAATTTTTGGTGTCTTATGTAGTGAAAAATTAGCATATTGCCTTGTGGATAAATTTAATAGCACTACACTTAGGCCATCATTGCTTTTGTGAATATGAATACTTGGAAATAAAGAAGTCAATGATATTTTAGGGAATTGTGGTAAAACTAGGAATAATAAATTGAAAAATATTAAAGAGAAGGCGGATTTGGCACCAATTCATTTAAGATAATTGAAATAGACTTGCATGATTTGGGCATACAACAGATGGTAGAAAACATACCAATAAGATGGGTGGGTAAAATCAAAGTGAACGCATTAGGAAGAAAAAAAAAGGTTAGAGTAAAGATAATACGGCTAAAGTTGTAAAAAGATTCTCTGCAAAATAGAGTTAAGAACTTAAGATCAGATATAACATTCAATTGGAATGAATGAAAAATGAGTTCATAAAATATATCTTACTTAGTTGGTTTGAGAAAAAGATGACGATTAATGGCTATTATCAAGTTTTGACTTCAACTTTAATAGTGCTGTCAATCAGACGGGCTTCTGTTTCTATTATCACACAAGTAGGGAGGTTGTCTGCTAAATCCATCTCCTTTTTTGATTTCTTTACAGGGGGGGCTTACAGCTATGGACGTTCTTGCCGTTGAATGGATCCAGACCGGACTTATTCACTTTGGCACAACTGTCTCATATTTTGGCTTTCTTAGTGATGGTAAAATATGAAATGATTAGTTCAGAATAACTGTTGGCTTTGATATAACAATTATTAGCTTTCTTTTGAACCTTAAATGCTTTTATTTGTTCGAAAGAATTTTATCTCATAATTCACCTAATTCAGATTCTAATGTGATGGCTGTTGTCCTAGTTAAACCATGAGAACCTCTTACTGGATGATATGGGATATTAAAATGCTATATACATGATCTGATTTAACGTACTTAAATGTATAAATGAAGGGAATCTGAGCTTGGTTTCTTAATGAATGCTTGGAAACTCATCTATCTTTGTCTTGACATCAATCTTTGGCCTTGATTTTGAATTCTGTAACTTAAGGGCATCAGAGTACATAAATAGTCTGGAAAATATGTGTTTAAAAGGTAAAGAAACACTAGGACTGCCTCACGTCTCAAAATGGGTAAGCTAACATTGATTTTAGCTAATTTATATACTTTTCCCTCTCTTTCTACCACCCTTATACGCCTAATTTTAATAATTCTACCTAAGTAGGTATTTTATCATTAGTACAAAATAAATAGACTAAGCAGAGAGCCAAAACTTTAGGGGTAAGAGGAAAGGAGGATTGTCTAAAATACATGATTGAGAGGGGAGTGACGTTACCAAGAAAAATGGGAGTCAATTAATAAGATAATAGTTAGTCAACATAACATCACCTCAAAAATCATCTCGAACATTCATAATGAACATTAATGTTCGGACTACATCAAGTAAATGAGCATCATGTAAATGAAATGCTTGCATTCAACAATTCAATTATGGGAAGCTTATAAGGACATAGGGTCTGATGAATGATTCCATTATCAACTCATAATAATTTTATTAAATTGGATGTAATAGTGGGAGAGAAGTGAGGATGGAATAATTCAGCATTTTGTCTTTACAACCTAGCCAAAAATCTCTTATAACCATGTATTTCTAGAGGACAAAAAAGTTAGGAAATCACATATTATAGGAGAAATAAATTCTGGAATGCTACCATAGTAATTACACCTATCCTTGGTAAAAAAAAAAGAGCCTAGAGAAGAAGCCCATAGTTTGTCCCTTTAATTTCCTTTCCTTCTTTGAGCCTGTGGTCCCCAAGCAGCAGCACACTCCCAGCCTTATTCCCATCCAGGGACAAGCCGAAACCTGCAGCTACTCATTACCAGTTGCTTTCCTTATAAGGAAAGATTGTATCCTATAGTAGCACGCCGCCAACTTGCTTTCCATCAAGGGAAGCTTTGAATCTTGCAATAGTCAATAGCCAACTCCTTTTTTCTTCTAGTGAGAAACTATAGTAGGCTTTCAACACTTCCACTCAAGCTTGTCTATCATTTTTATCAAAGAGGATATTCAACAGAGGTGGATGAGATATTTTGCTAAATTTTTCAATGAAGAGTGTGAGAATGCGATTGACTTTAGTCACCTTAGCATCCTAAATGAAAATAAATATGTTTGTTTTTATCGGCGTATTAGTAAAACTGAAGTTAAAGAGGCTTTAAAGAAAATGAAGTGTGGAAAATATGTTGGACCTGATGATATTCCAATAGAGGAGTGGAAATGCTTAGGAGATGAATGAATTTCTTGGCTTACTAAACTTTTAATATTATTTTGAAGACTAAATAGATGTCAGATGAGTGGAGAATGAGTGTATTGATTCCTATTTTTAAGAATAGGTTGCAGCGTGACATTAATGTTTCTCAAAATCAATTTGGATTCATGCCAGGCAGGTCTATTATGGAAGCTATACATCTATTGAGAGTTTTGATGGAGAAATATAGAGAGAATAAGGAGGATCTACATATCATTTTTATTGATTTAGAGAAAACATATGATAAAGTTCCATGAGAAGTGCTATGTAGAGTTCTACATAAGAAAGGGGTTAAATAATGCTTATAATCAAGTCATTAAGGATATATATGCAGGACCTATTACGTGTGTTCAAACAAGTTGGTTTGACCAAGTATTTTCCTATTTCAGTTGGATTACATCAAGCATTAGCCTTAAGCCAGTATCTTTTTGTTTTAGTCATGGATGTTCTCACTAGACATTTGCAAGAAGTTGTACCATGGTGTATGCTTTTTGCTGATGATATACTTCTTGTTGATAAGACTAGTGAGGGAGTTGAATGTAAACTTGAATTATGGAGGTCAACCTTAGAGTCTAAAGGCTTTTGTTTGAGTAGATCTAGAACTTAATATATGGAGTGTAATTTTAGTAATAATGGATCTAGTGGGGGGATTGTGACTTTGGGTGATCAAATCATTAATAAGAGTACACATTTTAGATATTTGGGGTCTATTGTTCAGAGTGATGGTGAAATAGGTGGAGATATTATTAGTAAAGTTCAAGTTGGATGGTTGAAGTGGAGGAATGCATTGGGCTTGTTGTGTGATAGAAAATTCCCTCTCAAAATTAAGGGAAAATTCTATAAGATGGTAGCGAGACCTGCAATGCTCTATGGTGTGGAATGTTGGCCATTAAAAGCGAAGCATAATATTAAGTTAAGTGTTGCAAAGATGAGGGTGCTCAGGTGGATGAGCGGTTTTACTCTTAGAGATAGGATATGAAATGAGCATATATGTGAAAAGGTTGGAGTAGCTCCAGTGGAAGATAAGATTAGAGTGAGTCGCCATAGATGGTTTGGTCACATAAAACGGCGGCCTTCTGATGACCTGGTTAGGAAAGTAGATGTATTAAATATGGCTTATGTTAAGAAAGGTAGAGGTAGACCTAAAAAGACTTGGTTAGAAAATATTAAAAATGACATTTCTTTATTAGATTTAGGTGAGAATTTGATTTTTAACAGGACATAATGGAAAAAAAATATTCATGTAGCCGACCCTATATAGTGGGATAAAGGATTGTTGTTGTTAATTTGTTATTATTGTTGTATAGGTCTTGTTTGATCACGTTGGCTGCAGTTTATTCAGAGGAAGCAACATAAGAAATACGCAGATTCTCATTTTCAGTTTTCTTTGTTTGTGCAAACATGATAGATAGTGTTATAGGATATCTGATAACAATTTTATTATCATAATATAAGATGATAGGTTCTTGATAGTAACTTGAAGTTCTTCTAAGAGAAATTTAAGCCATATTAATTCATATATCTCATTAGCCAAGGATTTGAGTTCAGCTTCCGCACTACTCATCATAACATGTTGCTTCTTGCTTCTCCTTGCCACTAGATTACCCTTGACATGCGTATGCCATATTTGTTTCTAGCAACCTCTATGCCAAGAAAATACCTGAGTGGCCTATGATCTTTAATTTCAAGCTCCTCAGCTGATTCAAAACACTTATTTTTCAATCATGATCCCTCTTTTAAGATGATATTATCAATATATATATATATATATATATATATATATAAGGTTGACTTTTCATTCTTGTATTTTTAGAGTAATGTATGATTTGAATGAGCCTATTTGAATCCTTATTGACACAATTTTGATTAACCTTTCAAACCATGATCTTAGTGACTATTTGATGTTATAAATAGATTTCTTTAATCTGCACACTTAACCCGAATTCTCATAGCTTCTTACTAGTTACTACAGTGGATAGATCCATGCAGACTTCTTCATTTAAGTCTCCTTTCAAAATAAGTTTTCTTGACATCCAACTATGATTTTGTCATTAAGAGGATAGCTTGAGTTGTACCATGTTTTGCAACTGGAGCAAAGGTCTCTGAGTAGTCAATCCAATAACTGAAGGTGAATCATTTTGCTATCATTCATGTCTTGTATCTTTCAACAGACAAATACTTGATAGTGAATATTCATTTATACCTAGTAAGAATTGCACCATTGGCTTTCTAAGCAACTCTCCACATTTCATCTTTTTCAAGAGCTTTCATATTATCTTCCACAACCTTCATCCATTCTATTTTATTTAGAGTCTCTTTTATAGTATTTGGGATTAATTTTCTCAAAATTGAAAAAGTAGAGTTTTCAGTAAAGATAGGTGGTCTTCTCTCATAATCTTTCTATAGGATGCTGAGTACAAGAACGAGTCCCTTAAAGCAGTTGATAATTCATTTATGCTATTCAATTGAAATTTTTTTCTGGAATTACCAAAATAAAAAAATATTCATGACTTATTTCTTGAGATTAAGCTACTCTTGTAGATTCTTTTGTCCAGAACATATTTGTCAATGGCGAATAGTGCACCATAGTGCAAAATTTTTCATGGAGCCATAGCATATAACTCATGGCTTGGCATGTGCTATTTTAAAATTAGTATAAAATATTAAAAATATTATGAATAAAAATGTAGCTAATTATTAAAAATTACTAGATTAAAAGATAAACCATCATAATAATGAAAGTATTTAAATCGATGCTTAAATTAAATTGCTGAATGCCTCAACCACTCAAAAGTCAAAATATTATATATATTTTTTCAAATTTGATATTTAAAAAAAAAAATTAAATTAGTCATCTTGAGAATTATCATTATCATCACAAATCAAAATAGCCTTATTTGCTTCACGAGTATCATCATTCTCTCTCAAATCATAATCTTCTTTGTCACCTTTATTATTTTCATATTGAATTGCAATAGTGTTAAGCCCAGCTGAAGTTTACTTTTCTTTTTCTTTATAGAACTCTCAAATATTGTAGTTTTTTTCATAAACAACTGTAGATTTTACAACAGTACTCCATGCCAAATCTTCTTCATTAGTAACTGATTGATTATCTTCATTTGCATCATCAATTTTTCTTGTTAACCACTTGCTAGCATCATTTATATTATTTACATAGATAGAGTCAATAATGTTATGATTGTTGTATCTTCGAATGAAGGCTTTATTATATTTCACATAAACCAATTTTTTGAGGTGATCTTGATCTTGACCCATCTTGCTTCTTCTTTTGCTATAAATTGAAATAAAAAAAATATTAAATTACTTAATTATAAAATTTCATGGTAATAATCTATATGCAATTTTATTTTGTACATATATGTTCAAAACTTCAAATATATTTT